AGTTTTACGGCCTTGACCCTTACGCACAGCGATTGTTCCAGATTCTCTGAATCTTTTGATGATGTTATGCACGGTTGATGATGATAACTTAAAAGTCTTTGCTATTTTACGCTGGGTAACACCATTCTGGTATTGCTGCACTATCTTTCTGCGCAACAATGGTGGAATTGGTGATCCTCTTACCATCTTGGCTTCTGAGAGACACTGACACTCTGAGAAGCTCTTTTTATACCCAATCATGTTGTCAATTGACCTAATTAGTGTTAATGGGTCTTCCAGCTGTTCATTATATGCTCAATTTCTTTTTTCCAGCCACTTATTGCTACTTGTCCCAACTTTTTTGAGATTTGTTGACACTGTGAAATTTTGAATCAACATATTTTTCCTTTAAAATGTTACATTTACTCAGATTAAACTTTTGATCTGTCATCTATGTTATATTACGAATAAAATATTGACATTTGCCATCTCCACATCATTGCATTCAGTTTTTATTCACAATTTGTTTAGTGTCACAACTTTTTTGGAATCCGGTTTGTACATGTAACCTTAGACTGTTTATTATTGTTACTGTTATTTAGCACATTGTGTATGTTATACTCGAGCGCGACACGTGAACTACACGCCTGACTCGACAGGCTCGTTCAATAAATAGCCATTTTGAATTGGATCCGATTGGTGTCTCTTGCCAACACAAATGTCGGTCACAACACCTACATTCTGGCGTAGATTAACTACGAGACTCAAAATATATTCCATCAGTCATAGAACAGAAAGCAGGATGTTATTCTACGGCACCATTGTTATTGATAGAAATATGCGGAATGTCCGCGCGTGCGTGAAATATATGCCTGTAGTGCACATGTGCTTTGCAGGGGTGTAACGGTACGCTAAAATCACATTTCGGTTTTGGTTCAGTTTCAAGGAGGGCTCAGTTCAGTTAATTTTCGGTACAAAAAAAGGCCAAAATAAAGACTTACAAAATGTTTATTTTGAAAATATGCCAAGTAAACAAACATGTTTGTATAACAATAAATAAAAACGACCCATATGGATGATGTTTTAAATAAAAGGCACTCTTTACAATAAATAAACTATATTAATAATCCAACATTTTTCAGTCAGGTCATCTGGACAGCATCTTTTTTTTTTTTGGTGCTGAAACGTTTCGCCTTCGGTCCAGAAGGCTTCATCAGTCAAGGAAACCCACAACAAAACTGATTCTTCCCCCAACAGCTTACTCCAAAGTGGAACAAACCAGTTCTGCTTGTGATAAGATGGTCTCTTTGGTACGCCCCTCCTCCATTGCCGGCCCTCTCAGTTGTGTCAAACTGGAATAAAGAGGCAGAGCTTTGCTAATTTTGCAGTGTGGCTATATTTGGTCTCATTGTCTTTCCACCAAAGAAGAGTCAGCTTCAAGGGAAGGGCACTCTGAAACTATGATCTCAAAACCTCTTGGACCTGCTCCCACCTGTCCCTGGAAAAGTTCAGAGTTCACTCATCACAGACTTCTTAGCTGGAGGTGATCTCTGGTGGATTTCCCTAAAGAGGAAGAAGACTCAGCTGCTATCTCTGTTCCAGACTGGAAATAAAACACAAAGAGGTACAATTTTTTTATAACAAGATTATAATTTTAAATTTAAAAAAGTTAATTAGATCATAATACAATTAAATTACCTCTTCTTGAACGGTCATTGAATCTCTCGCTCATCATCATCGATGTGGCAGGGCTTTAAATCTGGTCCAGGGCTTGTTGACGATCAGTTGTAGCTTTTTCATAACGTGCTGCTACAACTTTTTGGCAGTGGGGCTCAAGAACTTTAATCATATGCTTAAAGTTGGCGTATAAATAACAGAATTCTGATGTAGATCCAGAGCTTTAACAACTCCTACAGCTTGTGTTATTGCTTTGGACCGATCTGAATGACCTGATAAAAGTTGTTTAAATGCTGCTGTTATCACTCTTTGCACCAAGCTGCTAGAAGAGACGTTCACGTTTGGATGATGTCGTTTCAAGAGCGTTACCAAGTTCGACGTGTTGCTGCTGCAGATGCAGTCTCTGTGAAACAACGTCGACACACAGCTTTGGATTTGTTCACTTGTCTTTTAACATGAAAGACATAACGTTCCCAAACAGGAGACCACAACGAGTTGCTAGGCTGCTAATGCTGCACGTGCTGCAAAACTTAAAACAGTTAATAGCACCATGCTGAAACACGCTTAGGAACTTTAGTTTCGCGGTGCGGAATCTCTCATTAATAAAATTTAATGAGTGAAAAAAATAACCGAAACTGTTCGCTACACCCACATGTACCGTTACACCACTAGTGCTTTGACACCTCAGCAGGCAGTCCACCAGAAAACCTTCACTCCGAGACCTGGGTCGAAAAACCTCCAGATTCAGCGAGGGCGGGGCTGGTGTTGTGTAAATGAACAGCTGAACCGCAGAGAGAAAGGTGCAGTTTCACTCAAAATATGTACCGTGTAAATGGCCCATTAGAAAAACTGATAAACTCTCAAGTCACGAAGTATTTGGATTCTTTTAACATCTTACCTCCCCATCAGTTTGATTTCATGAAACAACAGCACAACGACTGCTTTGTTGAAGGTTTTTAATGATATTGAAGCATTATATGCTAAGGATTATTGTGCTGCACTTTTCTTAGACCTGTCTAAAGCTTTTGACACTGTGGATCAGAACATCTTGTGTCAAACTCTCAGAAACTGGTTTCTCGAATCGCACCATTGGTTGGTTCTCTATCTCTCAGACTGGCGGCAACCTGTTCAACATAATGGTACTTCCTCCAGCTATCTAACTTGTAATGGTGTACCACAAGGCTCATTCTTAAGACTCACCCTCTTTACAATTTACACAAGTCATTTAGATCACATCATCCCTGATGCATCCTTACATTTCTATGCTGATGACACAGTTGTTAATTGTTGAATAGTTGCTAAGGTTTTCCATCTTTTACAATCTGGATTCAACATCATCCAGTAAGATTTGTTCCATCTCAAACTTGTCCTAAATGCTGATAAAACCAAAGAATGTTTTTTTTTTTAAACAGAAAGTCAATACACCAGCAGTCCTTCCTTCAATTTTATCCTCAAATGGTGTCCCCATTGAGTTTATTGATTCCTATAAATATTTATCTTGGTCGACTCACATCTCTCTTTTAAGCTCCATGTGGAAAACTTGGTAAAGAAACTGAAAGTTAAACTGGGTTTCTTTTTCAGAAACAGATCCTGTCTAACCCTGAATGTTAGGAAACACCTTGTATCTGTGACTTTCCTTCCCTCCATTGATCACGGTGACATTATTTACATGAACGCTCCTACAAGAACCCTGCAGATGTTGGATGCTGCAGATGTTGGATGCTGCAGATGTTGGATGCTGCAGATGTTGGATGCTGTCTATCACGGTGCACTAAGATTCATAACTGGCTGTAACTACCGTACCCACCACTGCACCCAGTATCCACTGGTTAACTGGTCACCATTAACTTCACACAGACTCTCCCACTGGTACATTTTCATCTTTAAATCACTTCCTGGTCTGCTGCCTTCATACATCTCCTCCTACATGTCTCTGTGTGAGTGCAGCTACAGCGTGCGCTCTCAGGACATCATTACCTGCAGTGTTCCCTCAGTGAGGACTGAACTAGACAAAAGGACCTTCTCCTACTCCGCTCCTGTTTCCTGGAATATCTTACAAAAAGATCTGAAGCTCTCGACCTTTGACCTCTCTAAGTGTCTTCAAACATGTGTTGAGTTCCTGCAAGAACCAACACAGACATGTTCCTGTTTTTAGTTTCTACATCGCTGTATAATGCAGCCGTTTTTGTTTTGTTTTTATATCATTTCTTTTATTACTTTTTCATTTTATGCTTTTTATGATTGTTCACTGTTGTCATCATTCTTTGTTAAATCAGGTCTCTCTTGTAAATGAGTCCTTGATGCTCACTGAGACTAACCTGTAGAAATAAAGGTTGAATGAATGATGACAAACTGAGTTCAGAATAAAAGAACCCTGAGAGGCTCAGGTGAGAACAGTACCTGTTGATGGCCACGGGGTTCAGGCCCAAATTCCCCTGACTCATCACCTTGTTGATCCCCTTCAGAGCCACCATCTTGGCCTTCATGATGGGGTCTGAGATGGAGTCAAAGTCTGCAGAGCCAACAGTCACACATAATTCTGAGGAAGCTGGAACTGAACACAGAGAACAGAGTCACAGGGATGAGGACTTAGTCAGAAGGGGTTCTGTCAGAGGTCTGGACTGTTGGGGGTTCAGTCTTACTCATGCTGGAGAAGCCAGACTCTGATCCAGAAGTCTGTCTGATCATGGCCTGCATATGTTTCTGCTGCTGTTGCTCCTGGCGCTCCTTGTCCAGCAGGTCCTGGATGAGGAGTGGCTGCTCCACCAGGAGCAGGTGCCGACCTTTCATCTGGGCCTGGAGGTTGAGAGGGAGGCGAGGCTGAGGAGGTAGGACAGGGGTTCCCTGCGGAGCTGGACTCTGAGACTGAGGGTTAGGACTGGGTCTAAGTGGTCTCTGGTTTTGCTGGAAGATGGCCTGTTGCCCTGGAAATGAAGGAGATGGATCATCGGGTCAGTCTCTGTGACGGTCAGCTACTTTAAAAAAAAAAATCAATGGTTAAGCTTTAATAAAGGGGCGGGGCTTGTGAGCTTACCTGCAGACATGAAGGGGTGGACCCTGGGGGTCACATCTGAGGACGGAGCTTGATCCTGAACCAGTATGGCTGGCCCAGCACCTACAACAGAACCAGAGACCTCCAGCTTCTCCTGGAGGGAGGTGAGGTCACTCAGGATACAAACAATGATCAGATTTAAAACCAATCAATACTTGATGAAACCACTGATGGACCCACCTTTGAGAGGAGAACCAAGGGTCCTGCTGCTTCAGGAGGTCTGCTTATGGCCACAGGAGGAGGTGCTGAGGAGTCAGCAGCTCTTTTCACTTCTTGCTTCACCTGGTGGGCGTGTCCGTCGAGCTTCCTACAGGCTCCGCCCCCTTCCCTGTCTTCAAGCGGCTCTCCCAGGTCCAGCTCCTCGTTGAACATGTCCTTCTTGTCCTCCAGGTTGAGTTCTGGGTCGGCGTAGGCGATCAGGTCAAACTTCCCCGACAGCAGGAAGTCATCCAGGTGAAGGTCGTTCGGACCCAGGTCCAGGTCTTCCTTACCTGAGTCAGAACCCCCACAGTAATGAGTCCACACAGACTCAAAGCAGACTCGACAGATTATGAGCAGTTCCTACCGTCCTCTGGGTCCAGGTTCAAGTTCAGGTCCACCAAATCCTTCACCTCCACGTCCTCCAGGTCCTTCACAGCCGAGTCCTCTCCCTCCAGGTGCTCCTCCATTCCATCATGGTGCACCTCGCTGCTTTGAGTCAGCACCAGGTGACCCAGGTGGTGCTGGTCCTGTTGGGCCATCGCAGTTTCACAAATTCTGGCTGGACCAGACCGGACTGCTACGGGCTGGACAGGGTCTCTGGGGTGCATGAGGGGGACCTCAGGGTCCGGCAGGGGAAAGGGTAGCCTCAGGCGGTTCTCCGGAGCCCGGTGCCGGAGCTCGATGAACGGCATGATGTGCTGCTGGACTGAGTGGGACCCAGGGAGGAAGTGCTGAGGGACACCTGGGAGGACAGAAGACATGGACTCAATAAAACCTTTACATTTCAGAGTCTGGTCCTGGTTTTAGGTCACGCTTTTGTCCTGACCTGGCATCAAGTGAGCACTGGAGTTGGGGGGCACCAAAGGCCGGATCTTGGTAAACTCCGAGACCATGGATCTCCTCATCTGGGCCGGATTCCCCTCCACAGGACTGAGACCAGGAGCAGGGAGCGGTATCTGGGGAGGACGGAGGAAGAAGTCCTGGCCACCCGCCGGAGTTCCAGGAGGGCCTCCAAACCTGGTCCAGAGGAAAGTATTAGTGACTGGAACAGACCAGACCAGGTCCGAACCAGATTCTAACGGGGGTCTTACCTCATGGCTGGTCCTCGCAGACCCGGGTTTTGGGGGAGACTCTGTGTGGAGATGGAAGGCTTTTCGGGAGTGAAGTTCCTCTGCTGCTCCCCTGAAAAACCTCCAGGAAACCTGGGATCAGGAGGTCTTACAGTACCAGGGTATGGGGGCGGGGGCCGTCCAAACGGGTGGGCTGGAGCAGCAGAGGAGGTGGGGGAGTCCTCTGGGAGCCAGCTGTGAGGAGGAGCAGGTCCAGAGACCAGATCTTGCAGGTCTTTCTCCTGCCGTAAGGCGCTCTTCTGGTGCTGCTGCCGGAGGATGCGCTGTCGGAGCCACTGGCGCTGAGCAGGAGGAGCACAGAGGAGGCGTCACGCCTCCAACAACTACACACAAGAAGGAGAAGCAAACTGTCCTACCTGCCGCAGTTTCTCCTCAGAGTCCCCCAGCTGAGGCATCATGCTCATCGGTCCATCCAGAGGGGATACCCCCGCTGACGGTCCATTGGCTGTGGTTTTGTCCAGCTGAGACAGGCCTGGTGTCATGTGACCTCCATCCTCACTGTGCAAGGAGAAGCTGGACTCCTCAGATATCCCAGGGTGCTTTAGGGTCTGGCTGCTGTTGGTTCTGGTAAATGGGTCATGTTGTCGTGGTCCTGGAGACCTCTGCAGCAGACCAGAGAGGAGACAATGAGGCCCACAACACAAGCAAAGACCCTCAGAGACCAAAGAGAACGAAACTGGACTCTGGACCCTCGGCTTAGCCACCAAGAACTTAA